ATATATATATATATCTATCTATCTATCTCAGAAATTTTGACCTGTGTGTTTGGGAATGTATCATTCTGTAGAGCCAAACTCTTGCATTGTTTTGAGCATTCCTTCCCCAAAATGGCAGTAGTGGCATTCAGGATTCCAGCTGAATGCTGAGTGTGGCTCTGCTTTACCATTATGGTAAACTACAGCAGAGCTGGCACTGAGCTAGCTTAACATTTGCTATTTTATTAACGGATAACGACATGTTTTAAGGCTGACACTTCCAATGCAATACAATGGTTTTCTTAGAAAAAGTAGTTAAAATATGTATTTTTCTCACTGTAACCAGTTCAAGAAGACTTGCAGCTTTCTCCTTTTCCTCTTCTGTTCTTGGTTCTTTTACATTCATTTTTTCCAGCTCATTTTCCTGCTTTAAAATGTTGTCCATATATTCCTGGTGGAACAATGAAAAAGAATAAGAAAGATGCAGAGGTAGGTTTAAGGGCCACACATATAGAGAAAAGAGTTTGTGGAAGTAATGGACATACATGCTGATTCTCAACGTCATAAGGACCCCTTATGCAAATTTGAGTGAATGGGTTATATAGATATCTAAAGGTTTGCACGGCTTTTTAAAGCACCCAACAGGTCAAAGAGAGGCGTACACACTGAGGAGATAGTGCATGAAAGGTTACCACGGACTAATCAACTCTGACGATTAGCAACACGCTTGAATCTGCAATAACTGTATAACAAAGGACACCAAGAGACTGCTGAAGCTCTCCCAGGCCGCTTCCCCACATTAGCATCCACAACAAGTTGTGTGACTTGGACTATGTCCAGTATTGATCCAGTATTGTCCCCAGTGCATCAGTGTGACCCCGTTTCTGAGTAGGCAGGTAGGTTTGGCCTCCCAACTGTCGCACCAGCCTGGCAAGTACGAACAAGCGTGCAAGTGTTTGAGTGAATAAAGGAATACGCTGCGTAAATAGCTGCTATTAATAATTTAAATATATTTATAACCCGTGAAAGGGTAAAAATTAATTCTAACAGACTTGCATTTCCCAAATATGCCCAGGGTCAACAGCAGCGGAATTTTTGTCTCAAATTCATGTCCGAAAATTCACATCACCCAATTGTCTAATCTTTATTCCTCACTGAAAGAATGAATAAATGTGATTGTACAACCTTGAGGGAAAGCTGCAGCTTTTCTCTTAGTTCATCACTGAGTGGCTCATACTGGAATAGCTGACGGATTTGCAGCTTATTAGGACACTTCCGCACAGGTACCGGCAACCATGCCTGCTCTTTGGATCCAGTGCAGAGACCCCTCCAACCCCATGTTCTGACTGAGGGATCTGTGATCTTCCTCTCAACCTAGACAAGAACAAGCAAGAAGAGCAAGCAAGAGGCTGCTTATATTACCAACTAAATGCAGATATCTGCATGTGCATGTTAGCTGAAAAGCACACGCTTTCCCTATGGCAACTCAGATCTAGACAATAAAGTCAGCAGATTCTTGGGCACAATTTATCTATTCTAAAACTTCTGGCAAGATGAACTCCAATTAAAATTGCTCTATCATCTTACTAAGAGGAGAAGCAGCTGAAGGTGACTATATCTTCCCTGACACAGCCTGCCTCTTGCTTTGCTTACTTAATAAACTGGACTTAACAAAGTCATATTGTTTAGAGCTCCATTTCCCACCCTGTGACAATATGGTCTATCAGGGGATGTCTCTGCCCAGGGCGGGGGGGTGGAACTAGATGGTCCCTTCCAACCCTGACAATTCTATGATTCTATGAAACTTTTATTACTTAAACAGCAAAAGTCAATTTTGAAACCATTTTACCTCAAGAGGAGAAAATGTGCCCCAGGTTGTTGACTGAAGATTTGGAGGAACAATAGTCTCTGGTTCTTTCTTCATTACCCAGGGGGAGGTTTCAGCCAAAGGGCGGAGAATAATAATACTTAAAGCACCTGGTTCAAAGACACATGTGCTAAGAATCAGTTCAATCCAAAAATGGCAGACAAGTGTCTCAAATCTCCAGAAAATATACTTACTTAAGTATAAAAACCCCTTACTATCAAGTGGTAAAACTCCATTAGAAAATGCAATACTTGTAGCTACACATAATATCAGATCACTGAGGTAATTACATAACAGTTGGACAAGTTCAGATTATTCAGACCACGCTTAACAACAGACTGCCTGTGCTACTTTCTTTGAGTCTTGGGTAACAGCTCAGTTGTACAGCATGTGGAGTATCTCAAACAAGGAAAAGCAGACCATTGAGCCATGTTTACTGAATAATAATCTCAGAAGCACATCATATTCAGAACATGCGTAATTCTTCACTGTATTTTGTATTTCACAATCTGATCACTGAGTGGATTCCATTAAAGAGGGTTTATTACATCTTCTACATGTTCTTCAAAATATTTTTTTCCAACTCAACCCAAAAATCTATTTAATCTACTATTATCTACCTCAGAAGTGGCCTTCAAAATAGATATGACCACTGAGGTACTTTGTCCCAATCATACAAAACAGTAAAGTCTGGGTGTCAAGGCAAATAGAGCCAGCATTACAAAAGGTAGAGTAAGAAATCTGGACAAGCAGACGTGTTACTATTACAAACAACTGCTGATTGTGAGCTGGTTTTCTTGACTGGGATTTTCTCTGGGTATGTATCTTCTCCACCTTCCTGATATTTCCACACTTCCTATCTTTCTCTCTCCCTCAGTACGTTTTCTCTTTTCTTTGTCCCATGGCAAAATTAATTTATTCAGTTTATGCAGTGGGGAACTAGTTATTATTATTATGAACAGAAGCGGCATTAAAAAACATGCAAAACCTGATAAAAGTAGTAGGTAGGAATACTGTTCCCTGTGCTCATGGTACAAATCTTTGAGAAGAATGTCTTAGTACTTTACGTCTTGAAGCAAATTATCCTTATCATTGACTCCATACCCAGAGGAACTATACATTTCTGTCTATTTAAAAACACATTTATTTTCTTAGGATGTATCTGTTTATGCCACAATGTATTTTATAGAAACACAGTATCTCCAATTAACTTTACGATGATAACCAATCATTTCAGGATGTAAGTTCTTGTACTGCTACTAGGAGGTGGTTGGTGCCACGTACTATTGGCATCCTCTATCTGAGTCATAATTTCCCAGCTTCTTAATAGCATATTTTTATCCTTTCCAACAGCCAGACTAAGGGTCAACATCAGAGTATCACTGTCTTCATTGATAAACAGAGCTGTAAGATTAATGAAGACAGCAATACATTCAATATTTTTGATGGTAAACACACAGAGAATCTATGCATTTGGTAATCACTTTTGTTTACTTGTCCAAGGGTGAATAAAGATATGTCAATTGTTTGTTCACTTTTTCCCTAAGTGTTATTCAACTACTTCTCTGCTTCCCAGAGTTTTCCACAAGTTCCTTCTTCCTCGTGCTTCACTGCCAGAAGTGTTGGTGGCTCTCTACAGGGCGAAAAGCATTTTGAAATTTCCTGTCCAAATAGGAACAGGAAATTTGGACTCCACCTTTGTAATGATTTCTGTTATTAGTTTGCTGGAAAAGAGATAAAATTTTCCTACCTGGACATTCCTGTACAGGATCCTGCAAGACAGCAGCAGTGGAATCACTATAGACTTCAGCAAGATACTTGTGTACATCCTTGCTCCTCAGGAGCTCGGTTCCAGAACCATCCTTGTAGATGATGAAGAACCTAAACAGCCAGCCACATGCATCAGATTGTATCGGGCATAGAATGCAAGGTGATGGCAGCAGAGGTTTGCAGAGCAACCTCTGTGAGGATAGGCCAGGGGCTGCCCTGTGCTGGACACAGAAGGTCCCAGTCAGCTCCAACAGACCATCTGCAGGGCATGGCTGAGTCACCATCCAACTCTAATAGGTAACATATTATAGGTAGTATATTAATTTTCCCCAAACTGAGTCTATTTTGCCTGTGACAGAAATTGGAAAGTGATCCTCCTGTCTCTACCTCGACCCATGACCTTTTGTATGTTACTTCCCCGTCTTGTCCTGTTGAGGAAAGGGAGTGAGAGAGTGGCTGGTGGGCATTTGGCAGCTGACTGAGGTCAATCTACCACACTGATCAAATCCAATGGCCTTCAGATTGCATTCTTTTCTAGATGACAGAATGAAAAATAACACAGGAAAATGGAACTCCAAGATGACGACATCAAATGCGCAGATATAGGGTACTGAACAAAGGAAGTGCAAACCTACAAACCCTGTAAAAATAGATTGTAGTGAAGAAAGAAAATGTAAACCTATGAATCCAGTGCAGTTTACCTGGGCACATGCTCATCAGAAGTAATAGGTTTGTTAACTTCTGGGACTGCTGATGCTGAACTTCTGTCTTCCTTGTCGCTAGAGCCAATGCTAGGAACATACACAGATGTGCTGCCATCAGCCATTACCTGTAACATGAATTACAAAAAAATGACTTGAGTTACATGATACATCCAAAACAATAACTTGCTGCTGAACTGTAGTAAGGCCTAGCTCAGTGAAAGAGACAGAAAAAACATTTCAGGTTGAGCAACCTGAAATTTACAGGAAAAATGAATGAAGAAGAAAACTAAAAAGATAGTGAAAAAAGGAAGCTAAACATTTCTAGAAAGACAGGTCATATCATAAATGCTAATAACACATGCTAATATTTAATAAGTGCTTGTGTACTGTTAGTTGTCAAAAGGCGCCATACATGCTTACATTCCATCTTCAATACATATAGTTGCAGGTATCAATAGGCAACTTCACACAAAAATATTCACTTGCTGGTCAAACCTGGCAACTGTATGCTCAGGCATGTACTGATGTACTTCTGTGAGGTACATATGTATCTGTTTTTTTGCTATAATACAAGACATGCTAATTAAGGTAACTCTGCAGGTGAGGTAAACTGTAGACCATGAGCTTTATTTCAGTCTCTCTAAAACAAAAGGCGGAAAATACTAAAAAAAAGGAAATCCATCACATAGCCAGAAACATTTCAGAGACCTGATTCAGGAGCTGTTCCGTTCCGGCTAGCTAGGCCATCTAAGTCTGGCTAGCTAAGTCTTACAAGGCTACGAGCTGACCTAGAAAGATGTTTATAAGATAAAATTACTTAAAATGCAGAAACTAGTTTTCTTCCATGCATTTTACCTTAAAAATATTTCCTTCAGGATCCACCATCTCACAAACGGTGCTGGAGGTGTGTTTCATAATGTATCTCCCTGCTTGTTTCTCTTCTTTCTTGCTGATTGAATTACAACCTTCATGGGTGTAAACTGCTGAGCAATCTTTGTCAATGAAAAGAGAGCCTGTCTTGATTGGTAAAACCTACAACAGTAAAAAGGGAAGAGGTTCTGTCCTTAAAGGTGAAATTTTCAGTTTAGAGGTACTATGAAAATGAAGAACAGACACAAATTAGGAGAGCTTTCAGACCATTACTACTCAATCATCTGCTTATGAGGGACCCAAGGGAAAGAAAGAAGGAAAATGAAGTCCAGGAGTCAGGCTGATGTTAGTCTCTGTAATATTTTAACGTCACGAAATCCAAGCTTGTGATTTAAATATACTATGCAGTTCTACACCATAGAATCATAGAATACCTTGAGTTGGAAGGGACCCATAAGGACCATCAAGTCCAACTCCTTGCCCATTGCAGGACTACCTAAAGCTAAACCATATGACCAAGAGCATCGTCCAGATGGTCCTTCAACTCTGACAGGCTGGTTGCTGTAACCACTTCCCTGGGAAGCCTGTTCTAGTGACTGACCACCCTCTCAGTGAAGAACCTGTTCCTAATGTCCAAGCTGAACTGCACCTGATATAGATTTATTCAATTTCCTTGCGTCCTATCACTGGTCACCTGAGAAAGGAGATCAGCACATCCCTCTCCACTGCCTCCCTTCAGGAATTTGCAGACTGCAAGGAGGTGACTGCTCTCAGAGGTCACCTCTCAGCCTTCTCTTCTCCAAGCTGAACAAACCAGTTCACCTCAGCCGCTCCTTGTAAATCTTGCCCTTGAGATCTTTCATCATCTTGGTCACCCGCCTCTGGACACACTCTAATAGTCCAATGTCCTTAATTCGAGGCACTCAGAACTGCAAACAGTACTTAGATGGCTGCCAAGGAACACTGTTGACTCCTATTCAACTTGCCATCAGCCCAAACCCATACTTCAAGGGGCTGCTCTCCAGCCTGTTGTCTCCCAATGTCGGGAATCCAGCATCCGCTCTTCTTAAATTTAATACAGTTAATGATTTCCTAGCTCTCTCAGTCTACCCAGATCTTTCTGTAAGGCCTCTCTACCCCCAAGGGAGTCCAGAGCTCCTCCTAGTTTAGAATCACCGTCAAACTTTCTTAAGGTACATTCAATACCTGCATTCAGATATTTTATAGAGCACTGACCCTAAAACTGAGCCCTGGACAATCCCACTGGTGGCTGGTGCCAGTCTGATGTAACCTCATCAGCTAATTGCTCAACCAATGTCTAGCTGCATGCTGACATCTCATCCAGAAAGACACTGTAAGAGAAGGTATCAAAAACTTTGCTAAAATAAATAAAAAACCCTAACATGTATCTAATGGCTTCCCTTAGTCATCAAGATGGGTGACACCGTGATAAAAGCAAATTAAAGTTAGTTAAGCAAGACTTGCCTTGTGAACCTGTGCTGGCTATGACCAATGACTGCATTGTCTCTCAAGTGTTTTTCAATAACTCCCAGAAAAACCTTCTCCATTATTCTACCAGGCACTGAAGTGGGATTGAGAGCCTATAATAATAGAATCATAGAATGGCCTAGGTTGGAAGGGATCTTAGAGATCATTTAATCCAGCCTCCCTGTCATGGGCAGGGACATCACCTCTTGACTAGACCAGGCAACACATGGGGACTGAGCGGGAATCGAACCCACGACCTCGGTGTTGTCATTGTCGTCAGCACCGTGCTTCCTTCTTACCCTTCTTGAAAACTGGGACAACACTTGCCAACTGCCAGTCAACTGGGACCTCTAAAATCTAAATATTGGCAGAGTATAAAAGAGACAGAATCATAGGATTTGTGAAAGTTATAGAGAAAAGAGTTAAAATAGTCAAAGTGAGATACACTGATGGCAGGGAACTTGGAACACAAAGATATATTTCACTGTCACAAACTAATAATAATTCTCACCTGATATGTTCCCTGTGGCTTTGCTATAATAGATGTTCCATCTCCAAAGATTGTACAACAGGTACCATCCTCACAATTTGTTGTAACAGTAGCAAATTCAGGATTCTCTACTTGCACACATTTCACCTTCCTTGTGATCGCTTCTGAGGGTTCATCTAGAAATTTATACAGAACAACTACAAAGGAGCACAAGAACAATGAAAAAGTCTTAGGATTCAATTTGGTTTTTTTTCCTCTTATAAGGCTGGACCCTTATTTCCTCAGTAAAAGACTCTCAGATTTCATAATATCCTAATATCACAGAATCACAGAATGTTTGGGGTTGGAAGGGACCTCAAAAGATCATCTAGTCCAGCCCCCCTGCCAGAGCAGGATCACCTACAGTAGGTCACACAGGAACGCATCTAGGCGGGTTTTGAAAGTCTCCAGAGGAGGTGATTCCACAACCTCCCTGGGCAGCCTGTGCCAGTGCTCTGTCACCCTCACAGTAAAGAAGTTTTTCCTAATGTTTTTGTAGAATCTCCTATGCTCCAGGCTTGCACCCATTGCCCCTTGTCCTGTCATTGGACGCCGCTGAAAAGAGCCTGGCTCCATCCTCCTGACACTCTCCCTTGACGTATTTATAAACACTTATGAGGTCACCCCTCAGCCTCATCTTCTCCAAGCTAAAGAGACCCAGCTCCTTCAGCCTTTCCTCTTAAGGGAGATGTTCCACTCCCTTCATCATCTTAGTGGCTCTGTGCTGGACTCTTTCAAGCAGTTCCCTATCCTTTATCACATAATTTTATGTTAGGCAATTTTATGTTAGCTAAACAATATGCAAGCTTCAAATTTTCGGACTGTGCACTGAATACAGGAAAATCCAACAGCAAAAAACGTCTGTAACCATCTCTGGCTGGAGTAGTCACAAGAGCACTCTCTAATTTACCAGGTATGTAATAACTATAATGATCTGGATATTTGTAACATACAAGTTGGAGCACTGAAATCTGTCATCATGTCTGTGATACAAACTTTAAGATTTGTAGAAATTCCTTTTCAGCATCAGAAATCAGGGAAAAAAAATGATCAAACTGCTATGTTAATCTGGCCATTGCCTTCCCATTGAATAGACAGATCAGTTCAAGTTTATTGTTTCGATTTTTCAAATCCCACAGGGAGGTGTTCCACAACCAGAACTTTCTACTGTGGTTGAACACAAGTCCTGACACTCACACAGTAAACATACACTTCATGTTAATGACAGAACTGAACTAAGCATACAGAATATACAGCCAGCCAGAAGAAAGGCAGATGATCATGAGCTCCGCTTGTTTCAGGTGAGCGTAGTTTCACATCTACTACTTCCACCACCATATTCTATCAAATTTTGAATACCTCCAAGGTTGGTGGGTCTATGGCCTCTCTAGGGAATATGAGTATGCTGTGGTGCTTATACACTTATTTGGTTAAGACTCAAATCAGCTTGCCTGTGTTATCAGGGTAGATGGAGAATGGGCAATGAATATATTAGAACTCAGACAATGTGGTGGGTCAAGTAAGTATATACAAGGAAAGAAGGAAATTTGCTTGTTCACAACAATGTAATTTTTTGCACTTAATACTGTTTAAAAAACCAAACAAGCAGACAAACTAAGCATGGACTGCACTAGTGGATCTTTTATCTGGGCTACTGGTATGAGCCTTCTTTAGTATATATGTTGACAATTACCAGTTTCAAACATATAGCAGGGATAAGTGCTCCTCTTTTCATTTTACCTGTTTCCTCACTATCATTGTGAACAAGAGGTTCTGCAGAGTTTTTATAAAATGTTGTGATCCTAGTACCATCAGCATGATCTACTACTCTGCTACCATCCAGCTTCTCAACAATTATCACTTCATCATCTCGTACAGTCATAACCTAAAAGAATGAAGAAATACCTATATTAGCTCTGTGAAACTTGAAACATCAACAACATTATGTACTGAAACTCTGAAGAAGCTACACTACTGTAACTTTATCAACTGCAGAGACTGAGGAATCACATTTTCTTCACAATCTAAAGCTTTTGTATTAGTAACAGTTAATAGCAACGTGTAGGATATGTGTTCAACTTACACGGTGACAGCTCTGTCTCTTAGGTTAGTAGACAGTACTATAATAACACAAAAATAACAATACCGTTCCATCAGATGGGTCAGTTGCCTCATACATTAAGAGTGGCCTCAGTTCTATTCTCCTTGCTCCCTCAGTCCCCACTTGAACGCCTGATGGAGTTGTTGTTATCCAAGTTCCTGCTCGGTTCTCCTCAGGTTGCTCAGAATTAACCAGATTCTGAATAGTATTTTCAAACAACGCATCCTTGTTTGGGTGTGATGTGCTGATTCTGTCACTGCCTTTTCCTGCAGAAACAAAAATTTCTGTATCAGAACTCATATCCTCTAAGGCAAAAGACAAAAACAATAAATTGCAGAGTTTCCGTGAGTATTGATTTTGACAGAATTGGAAGAACTATTTATTAGGCTGGAAGGAAATTACAAGTCCAGTTACTCAGAAGTGTGCCCTTGAACTACCCTTATTTAATGTGTTCATTAATGACACAGAAAAAGTAAGCAGCAAGCTATTGTCAACACCAGGACTAAAAACTGTGTAACACAGAAGTAAGGATTTGACGCTAGTGCAGTTACAAAGATTTCTTTTGAATACTTAGTGTTGAACCACCCTGCTACCAATGCAGTTCTTACATGTCCATTAGTTCTTTCACCCACTAGAGTCCCATCATGTCAGAAGAAAAAGAAATCCGGAGTAGGAGAGAAATTATTTGATATGAAGGTAACAAATCAGCAGTGTGCATCAGTTGAGTACAAATAAAATTTCATTTTCACACTGGTGGAATTTTCATACTAAAGAAAGATATGCCCTTTGTTAAGTACCACCAGCCCTGCTAACTTAAAATCTGGCCAAAACACTGGAAATGTTACCTGTCTTAGTATTGGTCTCAGATGAAGGCTCTGATTCTGGTAACAGTTGCATGTTACATAGAATTGTAGGCTTTGGTAGGACAGGGCCAGAATCGGGACTCCTACTCACTGTGCCATCAGCAAACAGAATCTACAGCAATCAAGGACATACTAGAGGTTAAAGTCACTTCAAACACCAACAGAAAGTCTCAAAAGAGTATGTCACGTGCAGTAGTCACCAGAATACTGTGGGTAATGGAGGTAAAGGACTGCAAGTAAAAGACTCTCAGAATGAGTACAAGAAATAAAGAAGTCATCTCAAAAAGGACGGACTGCTAATTGCTGTAGTTCATGTATATAACTAATGGGGACTCTATTTAGAAATAAGTAGGCATTATAAAAGTTGATGACTTTTTTTTTATTTGGTAGCAGTGGTAATGCATCTGTATTACCATATTGATCTGCATTCAGGTATTCCACATTTCTAGGATTGCTGTTAATTTTTTAGGATTAGACAGTCAACAAAAAGAAGTCATGGTTATTTATCTTATTATAGCAGGTTTCTGAGATCTATTGTTCCTTACACTCAACTCTGGATACATACGTTCCCTGTGTGGCAGGGAACAACTATCCCTGACTTAATTTACTGTATTTGTGTCGCTGTTCTAGGAAGAAGAGAGTACAATGTGGAAAACAAATGGACAACATGTAGAAACATCTCAAGAGTCACAGTTATCATGAAGTACTTAATGATGTCTTCTTGTTTGAATGCTTATCTATATGTAACACATCCTTATGAATCACAAATATTAAGTTAATATAAAGAAAGACACACTCATAATATGCTTATACAAAGACTAGGCATACAAGTTCCATGTTCTTTCAGGAGACACAATATCTTGAGAATATACAGACATACAGCAGCTAGCTTCTCTGCGCATTGCTGAAATGGATATGTTTCTCAGAGTTTCTGGCTCAATTGTTTAAGATCTAATGTTATGCTCAATTAGACAGAAAAAACTTGAGGAAATAAGGAATTATTCTGACAGTTTCTGAGTCAATCTGTTTGCTTACTACATATAGGGTCTTAGACTTCAAAATTACAGTTGCTTGTAGACTGATTACAGTATCTGCAAAGATGGTATCTAGCCTACAGCATCTAAAATGAATCAGAATTCTGGGCAACCTAAATAGGTCTAAAACAAAGAAGGTACTTAGGAACATAAAGTCTTTTTGACAAAAATTTAGGATATGTAAAGGTATCTGCAGGAATGATAAAGAGCTCAGGTCTTTTCTGGATCCATATAACTGTTTAGATGACTGAAATAATATACGGATGCTTTTGTGTTGCCAAAAATACCCTAAGCCCAACTAATTCACACTTCAGATGTTTACGTCCAGGAACGTAGTTCTCAAAACCATACTCGTCTACTTCCTAGTCCCAAAGTTGCCTAAAGTCTTCACATGCAGAAATTTTTTGTCATTAAAGCTCCTGTAACTTCTGATTCTGAACAAAGCCAAGAGCATTCTAATCTTGACAGGGCTGGATAACTCAATTATTCCCTAACTCCTTCATCTACAAACTGGACGCTTTTTTATTTCAGTTGACGAGTGCAAATTAAGGATAATCACATATACAGGCTGCTTTCAATGAATTTTACTGAACATACCTGGGTAGATCCATCCATCATGTACTTTACGACAGTTCCTTCACTGGTGATAACTCTTGACACCTCTTGTTCTGATTGCCTTGCCACAGATGTATATAGACGAGAGTTCTTTACCTTTTGGGGATAACTCTGCCTAACCAGAATTTCCAGAGTAGGCTGCTTGGCCTGTTCTCTTCTGATGTCTTCATGCCTTATTTCGCCTTCTGCAACCTCATGTTCCTTCTCCTCACTTTCCACAAACTCTTCGTCCTTTGCTCCATTTCGTTCAGCCTCACCTTTCTCAACGTCCTTTTCCTCAGCTTTGGCCTCACTTTTCTTTACAACCTCTTTCTCAGCTGCAGCTGTAGCAGGTTCACCTTTCAAATCTGAGAACAAATTCTGAATTAATTAATACTTCACAGTGCAGATTCAAACAATGCTAAACACTCAGTATCATGGTGTCTGCAGAAGGTACGCAACTTCATGTGAATAAGACTAATGCTCCTTGGCTTCCTCTGTAATCCCCAGAGTAAAGGACAGACTCTTTCACAGAAGAACTCAAAGAAGTCATCGACTCAGAAACTCTGCATCCTCCTGTGGAGGTGTCCGCTTTTCAAAAAAAAAAAAAAAAAGGGAAATTTATTACAGCTGGATTTACTACAAATGCTGAACTACTGGAAGACTGACATTAAGTGAGAGAAATTTCCTAACCACCCATAAAGGTGCAAAAAGTTGCTGAGTTTCATCAAGTTTGATGTTGTATAGGAACTGAAGTCTACTTGAACAAATAAGGTTATTAGATTAAATTATGGCAGTGTGCTAATGAATATAATTATGGTAGTCATGTCAAGAGATTCATAGAATTGTAGAATTGTTAGGGTTGGAAGGGACCTTAAAGATCATTTAGTTCCAACCCCCTGCCATGGGCAGGAACATCCCCCACTAGATCAGGCTGCTCACAGCCCCAAGAGACTACATCTATATGTTTGTAATTGCTCTGTTCACCTCAACTATTCATCATTTCAACTTAAGCTCCTTGCCAAACTCTGTACGTTTGAAAAGCCTCTACATCCTCTTTATTTCATGCCAGATTGACCAGAGCAAACTGGCAAAATCTGCCAAACTGGCTGCATCTGCAGGGGTATTACTAGCAGAGACAGAGAGGGATCATTGATACGGAGACCATATCAATATCTATAAGTATCTAAAGGGTAAGGAGGATGGAGCCAGACTCTTTTCAGTTGTGCCCAGTGACAGGACAAGCAGCAATGGGCACAAGCTGGAATAAAGGAAGTTGCATGTAAATATGAAGAGAAACTTCTTTACTGTGAGGGTGACGGAGCACTGGAACAGGCTGCCCAGAGAGGTTGTGGAGTCTCCTTCTCTGGAGACTTTCAAAACCCTCCTGGATGCGTTCCTGTGTGGCTGCCCTAGGGCATCCTGCTCTGGCAGGGGGGTTGGACTAGATGATCTCTAGAGGTCCCTTCCAGCTCCTAACATTCTATGACTCTATGATATACTCTATCAGTCTTCTACAGGAAATTGAATAAGGACAGAAAGGGTTATTATGATTGTCTTCTCTGTATGTACTAGACAGCACAAACCAAAGGACACTTGTGAAATAACTCCTGTTGAAACAGATCATATCATTTAGAAAGGTAACAAAACCTGATTGTAAAATATCCAATAGCAGAGTTCATCACAGTCTGGGTTAGTTTTGTTAATCATTCTTATAATGAAAAAATTAGTATAACTTAAATCTCGTATAGGCTATAGTTTTAAGTTCCAAGCTCCTGGACACTGTAATACATCTGTATACTGTATTCACAAGCTATGGCCAAAATTCTGTTTCCTTGTTCTTCCAGACTTGCACCAGTCACTCCTTTGACCTTTTCTTTGGTAATTAAATTGAGTTCTTTGATGACATGAGCTCACTGTCTTTCAATGCTTTACTTGTTACTCTTCCCTGAACCTTTCAAAATATGAACATCTTGTCTTGCAGACTTAAGAACAGCATACATGATTCCAAAGGAAGCGCAGATACAGGTAACATAACAATCTTCTTGTTATCACTAAAGCTTTCTCGATAAATATGCATTTATGAATTGAATTAATTTTTCTTTAGTATTCCAATATACATGCACATTCAGCTGACCATCCAACGTGAGTCCGAAGCGGTTTTTACAGTTGTTGCTTCTCTGCCCACAATGAGTTATGCAAAACAATTTGCAGTTCTATATTCTACATTTGTTTGAATTAAAACACATTATTCATGTTGCAAATACTCTTAAACAGACATTATGACAGCTGTAGTGATCTGAACTGTAAAATAAAAAAACCCATATTGTTCCATCTCAACTCATTAAGGCAGAAATAATTTTCTTCTATAATTTTAACTTCTTCTAAATTCCTTACTTTGCAATGGCTCAGAAAACTAACCTCCAAAACTTTCACCAAGAAAAGTTAATACAAGTCCATTGGGACAGGAGACGTTCAAACTTGGGAAAGCAAGAACATTTGACATCATTGATGCTTCCATCTCCATCTACAGAATGAAACATAAAGTAGTTTTATTCCACAGTTTAAAAGAATAAAGTCAGACTACAGATTTCAGTTGTATCAAAACCCTGTAAAAAAGTGCTTTCTACCACACATTTTTAACATTTTGATAGTTTATGGATTCTGAAGTGGAAACATTTTCTTAATTTCTTTGATTATGCTCTCTTCTTTCATTCCTCTTGATTAACCATTGAAGAATAACCATTCCTAACTTTATTAATTTTTCTGAGTCATTATACTAGCTTGTGCACAGTGTCAAGAGGAGATGACAATAAATGGATAATGTGAAGCAGAAGAGCGTAAAATAATCTTGAAATTACACATCTGTTATTCTACCTATAATCAGCAAAAGAGCAATATTTCCAGTCTGCTGCAAATACAGCACTGACTTGAGAAGGAACAGCAAGTAATGTTTGGCAGTCAAAATACGTGATCACCTTTGCACTGCTCTGTAGTGAAACCTGTTCTGATGATTAGAAAATGAGGTTAATCTAACGAACAGCTGAAGACTCTGGAACATTTGGAAAAAATACAGTGCTACTACTCTCAATACCCAAAGATCATAGTCACCGGATCATGAGGTAGAATTCACAGAACAGGGCAGAAGTAACTCACAGTTGCCATATACTTCTCCCTGTCTAATGCTAAAAAAAAATAATCAAGTATACCTATATCACTAGTGAAAACTGTTAACATAAGTTGTTCTAAAAATTTCCAAGGCTGGGGGCTTCCTGATAAACTATTCCAGTGCTTTACCTTAATCAACCTTACTGATATTTTCCTATCGGTTAGCCTGAATCTCGCTTGCAGAAAATTATTTTACTTCTGATTATTTTTTATGATTATATGGGCTAGCATAAGAGATGACGATGTCCCTTTGGCTCTTTACAGAGGGCTATTCTGTCTCTCAACACTAGATCAAACAAATCCAAGCCAAGTCTATTAATCTTCCCCTACCAGTTGAGTTTTCTAGACCTTTGATCTTTCTTGGTGCTTTTGTTAAAACTCTCCAGTGTGGGTCGTATTTTTCTTGCAGTGAACCATAACTGGACACAGTACTTCAACTGAGGCCCTACCATCCCTGAACGGAAAAGAGCTTCACATATTTAGGAGGCTATACTCCTGTTTATTCACCTCAATGTGGTCTTTGCCCTTCTCACAGCAAGATGGCATTGTTGACTTATGTATAGCTTGTGATCCACTGCAACTCTCAGACCTTTGCAGTATAGATAGAACTGTTACCCGTTCGGTAGATATATATTGATTATTTATATGTAACTGTAGAACTCAGCCCTTATTCTTACTGAATTGCATCCTATTTTACAGACTATATCTACGTGTATTTGTCAAGTGTGCTTCAGATTCTAATCCTGTCCTCCAAAATGCTTGCAGACTCAAACAGAGAGGTGCTTTATGCACCAAGATGGATACTCCCTGTCTGCAGACATTCTAAACCAAAGAGTAAAAATCTTTTTGGAAGAAGAAGAGAAACTTAGATGATGCCTCTAGAAGCCACCATAGCTGAATGAACTAGTGTTAATCTTCCGTGGAGAAATTCTGAGGAACAGGACAAGGGAAAACAATGCAGTGGTACCGGGCAGAGCTGGTACCACTCGTGTTTTTACATTTTACCCACCAGGAATGGCTGAGCTAATGGGGAAAAAAAATGAGTCATTAGAAGTATCATAAGCAGTAATCTGACTTAGATTTGGCTTAGGGTGAGAAATAAGACATTCTGTTCATAGTTCTTTCTGCATCATTTCAGCCATGCTTGATTAAAGGTGGAACCAAGAAGAGAGAAAAATAAAACACACTACTAGATGCTTTCAACATTTTTGCAGTTAGTCTGAAAATATATTAAGAAACACATCTAGCAGGCACATTAACTAGAAATGTTTTTTGTAACTTGATCAAGTTTAAAAGTGATAGCTTTTAGTCATAACTATCACTAAATAGTTATCCCAGACAGCATATTTTAGAGCATATGTGTTACATGAAATTGTTTATAGACATCATTGCTTTGTATTCTGATTATGCCTATTTTCAGAAGACTGTCCTTTCTTAAGCTGAGAGTGGTAACTAAATTGATTCTCAATACTATTCCATGTCCATTTTTGTCCTCTCAAGAGTTGTTTTTTATTTTAATTGTGTTCATTTCTGGGACACTGCTGGCTGGACAAAACAGCATAAAAAAACAAAAAAGAGAGGTTAAATCATCTAGAACTCCTGCATCATCTTCCACCACCCTCTTACTATCTTCTCCCACACTTCTTTGAGAGCTTTTCATGTAACCCATACTCTGGCTGACCTGCGAGATCACTGGACCAAACAAATCTCCTGTGGTTGCCTACGATACTCTGCCAATAGTTGGCTAAAGATTTGAAATTATCTAGGTTAATCACTTTGCAGATGGTAACTGAATTGATATGGCCTCCCTCACTTACATGTTTTAATGCCAACAAGCTTCTCTGTGGAAGATGTTCAAGATTAAATGTGTATTTTTGATGCATGTGGTCCTGTAACTCCTATATTACTCTGTGCTAGGTATTCCGTAACAGAAATTCAGAACCTGCTTTTGAAATGTCACCCATCCTTTACAAAGATCTGTCCTGTGACAGAAGTACTTCAGTTATAGGCAAAAGCAACTTCTTCAAGTTGCTAGTCCCTGGTTTGTGACCAGCTGAAAAGACCAAATTGCAGAGCAAAATTTTTCCAGCATAGGTTTTTGAAAGCACAGAAAAGTTTTCCTACTGGTTAAACTAGAGCAGTTCTAGTCAATGAGACATTAATGATGTAACAGGTGTAACTGTAATGCCAAATCTGGCAAAATTATGTGGACCGTGGAAGACACACTGCTTAATGTCATGGAGTTTTAAAGGCTAGCTTTGTTAATAGCTGCCAACACATGCATCTGAGAACAACTGGAAGAAAAAAATATACCCTGGAAGCACCATAAGTAGTTAGGAGTTTCTTAACACACAGGTAAAAGCTCTCTGACCAGAATATATGCTTCTGTTATGTTAGCTTATGTATTTGAATTTTCCATTTCTTTTCTGTGTTCACTGAGGAGAGGATAGTATCCTCTCACCTTTCCTTCTTCTTGCTTTACCAGGTCATCAGGTGGTGAAGCTCCTGTGTTGCTATGGCTTGTTTTTGCAAATGGCAGCAGTTTTCCTGATTTTTGTTTGATGGGGTTATCTTTTTTCCCCGAAGCTGATGTAACTGAAGAAACTATGGTCGGAATATGAACAGAAGGGATGTTCAGAATTCTTGCTAAGACAGGATCTGTTTCATCATCTAAGGAAGGGAAAAGCAATATTTTAAATGCAATTAAGTTTCATCACTGTAAATGCCCACAATTTATTTTTAATGAGATTTTGTACACTGGATTTTACCTTTGAAATAATAACCTCAGTGGGGGAGTTTTTTATTTCAGACAGAAGTACTGAGTAAACAAAACTATGGAGACATTTTGAGTCTAGTATCTAGGAAATGATCAATGTTATTATGCTTTATCATGGGCTTATCCAGCACGGACTGACTCCAGCACTTTTATGCTACATAGCTCTATTTTGCTATAATGCTTCAGAAAGATGCTGATGATCTAGACTTGCCAAGACTCTCCCAGTTCTTAAAGGCCAAGTGTTAAGGCAGCTGGCTCAACATGTTGACAGCAAGTAGTCATGCTGCCTTTCAAAACAGTTTCTTGAAAATAAAATTAATACAAACTAAGATTTTTTGCAAAACATTTTTGTTTCAATGAACCAACACTTAAATCAGAAAAAACACATCCAGCTCTAGTCTTAACACTTTTTTGAAAGAATTTTTTAAAAAATTGCCTTTTCTTGCTTGAAGGTGGACTAGGTCCCAAACTTGCAACACATGAAATAGCACCTTGTTTCCCATCCAGACCATTTAAGCAATTGAATTCTTGTTTGTTTTGGAGAACTTGTTACCCTACATTGATCAACTTATGATCTACATCTTAACCACACCTATATAAATAAGAACTGAAAACACAAGTGAGCAAAACATGATCACCTCAGGAACCATCTTTTGAAAACCTTTTAAAAATAAATAAAGTAAGCATGATTTTCTTAGTAGTTTCTACAAAGTATGAAGTTTAATGACAAGTCAGTAATTTCAAGACTATCTTTACAAGACTTCAAAAAATGCTTTCTTTTTTGTTTCTTTTGCTGAAACATTTTTATTCTGCTTCTTCCAATGAACAATAATAGTTAATGTAAAAATTGATACATCAGGTAAAGAAAAGTTATATAACTCATTGTCAAATTGCAAGCCAGATCACATTCAAAGAAGGAAAGAAATGCATCTGGATGCATACTAATAGAACCATTCTGGCGTGAGATCACAGCATTGTCTCTAATGTGGATGAAGTCTTAGTATATTTTTGGCTGAAGAAGATAAAAGGCAGGCCTAAGTGCTACTATGTGCACTGTGTCCTTGAAGGTTCTGGTAGTTTAGAACTTTATTTTTAAGGTGGCATTTGTGTTTTCTTATCTGCAGAGCTAAATCGTCTATTCCAAAACCATTTGTCTTATGGATGATTCTGGATCTATAGAAAGTGCAAACCCCAAAATATAACAACCTAAAGCTGGAAGAAACTATTATATCACTTAGTGATATATTTAGGAGTCTGGAAGAACAGGCCTTTCACCTCAGTTTTTGAGCCTTCAACCTCAGTTCTTCTCTTAGTGTCATGGGAAATTATGGAAATGCACAAATATGTGACTATATCCGTGCCCCTTAGCCTGAAAAGGAAATTTAGATCTTCACAAAGATTTTTGAAATCATCACTTCCACTAGGTGATGCACGCCTGATGCATGAGAATCTGATGCTTTGTTAGATGACTTTGTTGGGTGGCCAGCTCAAGCGCATCTACACTAACGCACACAGCATGGGCAACAAGCAGGAGGAGCTGGAAGCCACTGTGCAGCAGGATGACATAATCACCATTGCGCTCAGTGGGCAAATAGACCAAACCAACCACAACGGTAGACGTTACTCAACTAAGTCTCTGCTATGTCTGTATACCAATGCAAGAAGCATGGGGAATAAGCAAGACAAACTAGAAATCTGGGTGCAGTCGCAGAGCTGTGATTTCATAGCAATTACATAGACATGGTGGGATAGCTCACATGACTGGAATGTGGTAATGGGAGACTATGTACTTTTTATGAAGGACAGACTGACAAGGTGAGGTAGTGGAGTTCCTGTTTATGTGAATAAGCAACCAGAATTATCTGAATTTAACCCAGGGGGAGACAATGAAAGTGTTGAAAACTTAAGGGTCAGAGTTAAGAAACATGTAAACATGGGAGATACTGTTGTGGGTGTATACTACAGACCCCTAAACCAAGAAGACATTGTTGACGAGGCCTTCTACAGGCAGCTGGAAGTAGCCTTGAGATCACATGCCTTGGTGCTCATGGTTGACTTCAATCACCCTGATATTAGTTGAAAAGATCACACAGCCAAGCACAACCAGTCCAAAAGGTTCCTGCAGTGCGTCGACGACAACTTTCTGCTGAAGGTGGCTGAAGAACCAACTAGGAGAGGTGTGATGCTGTACCTTATATTAACAAACAAAGAAGGTCTGGTCATGGAGGTCAAGGATGGGGGCAATCTTGGCTGTAGTGACCATGACATGTTGGAGTTTAGCATTGTTAAGGTAAGAAGAAGGGTAGTAAGTAAAATTTCTGCCCTGGACGTTAAGAGGACTAACTTTGTCCTCTTCAGAGATCAGCTTAGAAGTATCCTGTGGGCTAGGGCTCTAGAAGGTACAGGGGGCACAAGAGAGCTGGTCAATATTCAAATTCTGCCTCCACCAAGCTCAAGATAAATGTATTCCCTTGAAAAAAAAAAAACCCAAATAGAGGCAGGAGACCTGCATGAATAGACAAGGAGCTCCTGGAAAAACTCAAATGGAAGAGGGAAATTTACAGTATGTGTAAAAAGGGTCTGGTTAATTGGGAGGATTATAGAAATGCTGCCAGAGTATGTAGAGACTCAACAAGAAAGGCCAAGGCTCTCTTGGAACTTAGCCTGACTAGGGAGGTGAAAGAAAACAAGAACTTTGAATACATCAGTGAGAAAAGGAAGAGTAGAGAAAAAGTGTGTCCACTGCTAAATCAAGTGGGATATATGGTAACAGAGGATGCAGAGATGGCAGAATTGTTGAATGCCTTCTTTGCCTCAGTTTTCACTCCAAAGACCAGCCCTCATGAATTCCAGTCACTAAAAGTAAGGGAGCAAAACTAGAGCGAGGAAGACTCCCCACTGGTCAGTGAGGATTGGATTAGAGACTTCTTGGAGCAACTGAAAATACACAAATCCATGGGCCTCAATGGGGTACATCTACGTGTGTTGAGAGAGCTGGCTGATGTTGCTGAGTCTTGCTCCATCATTTTTGAAAAATCATGGGGAAAACAGAAGAGGTGCCTGAAGACTGGAAGAAAACCAATGTCACTCCAGTCTTCAAAAAGGGCAAGAAAGAAGACCCAGGCAACTACAGACCAGTCAGCCTCACCTCCATCCCTGGAAAGGTGATGGAGCGGCTCATTCTGAAGGCCATCTCTAACCAAATGGAAGAAAAGAAGGTTATCAGGAGTAGCTGACATGGATTTACCAAGGGAAAATCTTGCTCAACTAATCTGATATCCTTCTATGAAGGTGTGACCAAAGGGGCAGATGAAGGAAGAGCAGTGGATATCCTATACCTTGACTTCAGTAAGGCTTTTAATACTGTCTCCTATAACACCTTTGTAGAAAAGCTCAAGAAATGTGTGCCCAGCAGGTCTAGGGAGCTTCTCCTCCCCCTCTACTCTTACCTGGTGAGACCACGCCTAGAATACTGTGTCCAGTTTTGGGCTCCCCAGTTCAAGAGAGAGAGTCCAATGGAGAGCTACAAGAATGACTGAGGGACTTGATCATCTCCACTGTGAAGACAGCCTGAGAGAACTGGGGCTGTTTAACCTTGAAAAGAAAAGGCTGAGAAAGGATCTAATTAAGGCATACAAATATCTGAGGAGTGAGTGTCAAGAGGAAGGTGCCAGTCTCTTTTTGGTGGTGCCCAGTAATAAGACAAGGAATAATGGGTATAAACTTGAACTCAGAAACTTCTACCTCAACATGAGGAGAAACTTCTTTATTGTGAGGGTGACAGAGCACTGGCACAGGCTGTCCAGAGAGGCTGTGGAGGCTCCCTCCCTGGAGACTTTCAAAACCTGCCTGGATGCATTCCTGTGTGGCTGCCCTAGGGGATCCTGCTCTGGCAGGGGAGTTGGACTAGATCTCTAGAGGTCCCTTCCAACCTCTAACATTCTATGATTCTATGAATTTGCTTTCATGTACTGAAGCTTATGCTGCATGGGCTTTTAAATCTTACTGGAAGTCTGAGGGAAGGTGATCAAATCTGTTTTATTTGTAATATGCCAGAGAGAAATCCTCAGCTAATTATATAGAATACAAAAGCTTAAAATTCTCCATGGGGTCAATTCTGATACACATTTATCAAACAGCATGGCCATGGAATAAACAAGCAGTTGCAACCTTCTCCAGGTGAATGATGAGAAGAAATAGCTGGTGTTGACAGAGCTAGTGTTCTGCAGAGAGGCAGGACAGTTGTAATGAAGGATTTCTGTGAAACTGTCCAATAAAATCATTACTGAGCATAATCCATCTTGTAAAGTGAGTATAAATACCCATGTGAACACTGCAAACTGGGTATAAGCAAGTTCTTGTATCACAGAATCACAGAATGTGTTGGGTTGGAGGGGGTCTTTAGAGGTCATCTAGTCTGACTCCCCTGCAGTGAGGAAGGATATCTTTTACTAGATCAGGTTGCTCAGAGCCCCGCCACACCTGACCTTGAATGCTTCCACGGATGGGGCCTCCAACACCTCCAGACAGTGAGTGGAGCTATCCTCCACAGCTTAACCATGCTGTGAAGTGCAGCATGCTTAGCTTCAGATGATGCTACTTTCTAGAGTGCTGAATTTAGGAATAGAATCTGTTACAGGCCCTTGACCCCTAAGGGAATTTCATCTACCCCTTTACTCTGGTTGCCCTAAAAAATGAGCAACTGAGGGTATCAACGAAAAAAAGTGGATTTTTGAAACTGAGGAAAAATGTCTTCAGAAATCTTGAGAGGGATGGGAAATCACAGAAGACTGTCAGACTAAGGAAGGTTTCCTTCCTCCTGCACACACATGCATTTTTTTAGCACTTAGAGTTGTAGTCTTATAATTTTGTCAAGGCACAAAGAGCAAGTGCAAAACTTCTGTAATATCCAGAGGCAAAAGGCCTGCAGGCGTTCAAGCATCGCCAGATTCACAAAGTGATGAGGAGGTTACTTCTAAGCCAGGCTATAAAGCGGTCTGAAGTTAGGAAAATAAATAATAATTCAAAACTTGAACATATATTAACATTTAACCAGGAAGTAAAAAGATGCATAAAGCTGGCAAACAACCTTCTGTCATCTTAGCTTCCCTGAAAGGAAGAAGGAAGAGATAAAGTGAGAAAAACAGTAAGAAAATTAGAGAGGTTCCAGAAAATTATTTTAGCAGTGCAAGGAAAATGAGTAATTTGCACCCAACTTAACCAACCAGTGGAGAGAAACTATGGATTATATGGCATACCGTTCTACATTAGGGATGGATGGCATATGAGAATAACCTAAATCAGAATATTTCTGGTCAGAATTTTTCTAAGCACTTATGATACAAACACCAACAAGGGGAATTAGGCATAAGCAAGCGATTGTAGAAAAACTGCAGACAGCCAAAGAATGCCAGTCAGCAGTGCTGCACTAAAGTTCAACATGGAAAGGATAACATAGAATAGGATGCTTATGTGAGTCTGAAGACAGCTGACACACAGGTGTTTAATTAGACATGTCTCTCTTTTATGCCAAAATACAATATGCCAAAATGCTCCCTTGTCTGAATTTAAAAGTCCTTTTTTAGTAATTAATTTGCAAAATTTATTTGAATGATTAAAACTGAGTGTATGGTTGAATGGTTTACCACAGTCCACACAAAGATGCATTCAATTAAATGCTTTCCTATTTTAAGAGCTGAAAAATCCTGGGATTATTTTCTGATCAGAAGAGGGTTTCACTTTTATCTGTATGATGGTTTCAGTGGCCTTTCAAATGTAATGGAAACAAAAAGCTCTTGGAAAAAGCAGACACTATTTTTGCTACGGTTTTGCGAAGCAATTGCTTCCAGTTGGTGAATGTGTTTATTGAAAGGCTGAGAGAAATCCCTCATTATGTCTGCACAACTGTAACCTAAAGTCCAACTCCTAACGTAAAACGAAAGTTCCATAATCACCTATGTAAGTTTACAAAAATATTATTTCTTGGAAAACCAAGAAGACTCCTCAGCAAATGGCATTTTCTTTGGCTCAATTTAACTGGCTGCTTTTGCTGGGCTACTTAATAACAATACTTGCAAGTTTCTTCTGCACTGCTCTGTTTTCACAGTAAGTAAAAGTACAGAGACCTCCCTCCATTTTGAAACCTGAATCATAGAATATTCTTGTTAATGTAACCTCATCTGCAGCCTTCCTGAAAATTCTCCACCATGTAGTTAACAGCTGCTGAAAAAGGCAGAACTGCACGCAACAAATTATTGGGTTAAGGAGTGTAGGAAGGAAAAAGAAAAGGGGGGGGAAAGAAAAAAGAATTCCCCCTATGGTTCTCAAATATCCTCTTCTATTTGCTTACTTTACCTGCTGTCTTCCCTGTAGGTCCGTAATAGCTCAGGGACAGCTGGATTCCATTTTCCAAGGTGGCTGAAAAAGATCCAAACTTGCTCACAGCTTGCTTTTGATTTTTCAATTTTCCTTTAAAAAAAGATAGAATGAATTTTAAAGATAGCAACACACACTAGAACCACCTGACCTGTAAACCAATGACCACTGTGAACAGTGGCACCTCAATGTGGATGACTAACCTGTAAAAGAGATTAATATCAGACAGGGAAAACGATCATTTTAATCACAGACTAGCATATAATAGTCACTTTTGCATAATAAAGTCTTGATTTTTCATCCAGAAATTGCATTCTAATTAACAGGGTGTGTAAACACAGGTTTAATAGCAACAATCAGTCTTTGTGAATTTAAACAGCAAAAGAATCTAGTCCTGGAGTCAAGGATCCTTGCGTCTGTTCTCTACTTGGCTGTTAAAGGAATGTTAAACTGCTCACTTCTACCTCATGTGGCCTACGCACTACTAAAAGTCATTGTATCTCAGATATTGTCACAGGGACTGTACCTCGAGGTGAAAGTAAAAGAGAGCAGAAAAAGTTGAGAAATTACACCCAAAGATCTGTTCGGCATTTGTAAAAATGGATTACGAGACAAGCTTGCCTAGAGGTGCAGGACAGATGTCATGTGATGTCATCCTTGATGGCCACATGAGCTACGCAAGTTAACACCTCTGAGACAGTGACACTGGATCCTACCTTGCCTCTAGTTCTACTGCCTTAAAGAAACATTCTTCTGGTAAGAGGAAATCCCTGGGATATCCAATACGGCGAACAGCTTCTTAAAACTGTGAGGAGCAGCAGGGAAGACTACAAAAGGTTAACGCAGGCACCCAACACCTAACCATCTCCCAGTTCTTCCATCAGCAACATACACATGCTGACACCTCGTCTGCTCCTGTTTACTGTCTATCATTGCAATGTTCATTGGGGACTGCCACTTGCAAGGCCAAGCTCAAGGTCATACATCTGGGCCAGGGCAATCCACATTATAAATACAGGCTGGGGGAAGATGTGATAGAGAGCAGCCCTGCAGAAAAGGACTTGAGGGTACTGGTGGATGAAAAGCTCGACTTGAACCAACAAGACGTGTTTGCAGCCCAGAAGGCCAATCGCATCCTGGGCTGCATCAAATTAAGCATGGCCAGCAGATCGAGAGAGGCGATTCTGCGCTTCTGCACCACTCTGGTGAGACCTCACCTGCAGCCCTGCAGCTCTGGAGCCCTCAACACAAGAAGGACATGAATCTGTTGGAGTGAGTCCAGAGGAGGGCCATAAAAATGATCAGAGGGTTGGAGCACCTCTCCTATGAGGACATGCTGAGAGAGTCGGGGTTGTTCAGCCTGGAGAGGAAATTACTCTAGGGAGACCTCACAGCAGCCTTCCAGTACCTGAAGGGAGCCTACAGGAAAGCTGGGAAGGGACTGTTTACAAGGGTGTGTAGTGACAGGACAAGGGGCAATCATTTTAAACTAGAGCAGGGTAGATTTAGATTAGACATTAGGAGAAAGTTCTTTACTGGAATAGGTTGCCCAGAGAGGTGGTAGAGGCCCTGTCCCTGGAGGCATTTAAGGTCAGGCTTGATGGGACTCTGAGAAGCCTGATCTAGTAAAGATGTCCTTGCTGACTGCAGGGGGTTGGAATGAGGTGACCTTTAAAGGTCCCTTTCAACCCAACACATTCTGTGATTCTATAGGGGTCTGCTTTCAGAAGGGTAGACATCCGTGGAAGGGATGCAAATTTTCTATTCAGCCTACAGTTCCATCACTGGTGGAAGCTGAAGCCAAGGAAAGAAGACGAGCAAGAGGCTTTCTAAAACTGATGAAGATTAAGAACTAACACATCTACCAAAAGTTCCACTTTTCCGATACTCTTCAGCTCAGTGAGAGCAATTCCATAGTGCTTTTGGCAAACATATACATGAATTGTCATAGACTGGCTTCCTTCTTGGAAACACTCTCACTGGGGTTAAGAAAGGATTTGGATTCAATGCTTTCTGCTTATTTGCAACATGTTAACCAGCAGTAGAAGCTGCTGAACTGAAGATCTCTTTCAACACCAAAGGTCTTGAGAAGGCACTAATGCTACGGTCGTCTGACCCACAAAATGAGGTCCAGTTCAAAGGGGAAAAACTTCCCTTTCAAGAGCAGACTTTTATTCTGGTCACAATAGACATGATTCAGTTTGCGTCTTCTTAGGCATTCCCAGGCCACATTAAGATTCAAAGGAGTCTTCCACTAAAGAAGAAAATTCTTCTTGTAAGAAATGGCGACTCTTTACACTGTTTTTCTTGCTTTGAAAAAGAGACTGGTTTGTACCTGTTGACCTGTACTGCACTTCTATATGTTGGTACTGTGCTCTCTACACAGTGATTAAGTTAGTCAACAGGATTTTTACTTCTATTTAGAGAACACTGATCTTATCTGCCCTCTGCCTCTGCTTATTTTCTGTTTAGATGTTAAAGTTTGCATCCAGTTACTAAATATGTCAAACTACTAATTCTTTACAACACTGATGTCAATCCACTAACCTGATCTCATTTTCTGTTTTTCGCTACTTTCTTGCACTTTGATTTCCTCCAGGTTTTTCTTGGGGTCTGTGATATGAATGAAGAAATTGTGGTTGTCCTTTACCACTTTCACCTTTACCAAAGTTAGACCTGCAAAGCAACAGAATACTCCCATCATTATTACTCCCATCAGGCTTAAGAATTGTCCCATGTTGCAAAGAAACCCTGCACCTGCAACTATAAAGCACAGAGAAAAGGAAATTGCTCAGAAGTTGACTGAACTGCTTAGTAGTAGATCAAGAAGACAAAATTAACGTTAGTGAGCTTAGGCTAAATATTCAAAAACTTGCTGACAATTAGATCTGAGATGCTGCAGGATAACCCTATTGCTTAGATATGCTGCATTTGACTGGACAAATTATTGGAACATACATTCTTGAAACATCATGCATTGGTCATCATTCAACAGATAAATATGAACTGAATATTCTCCATTTCTAATTTTCTGGTACTTTATTTATCTATAAATTGTTAACATACTACAGGAAGAAGTAAACTTTAGTAGTGATAGAGGCTAATATGGAATTAATGGTACTCCCACAATATTTTTAACTGAATTTCTACTACTGAGACACAAAAAAAGCATTCATGGATTAAGAAACTACGGCATCAGTTAGTAACTAAGTCAAAGCAAAACATAAAGAATTAAGAATCACCTTTTACAAACTCTATCTTCTCTACATGAATCTGTCCTCCATCAGATGGGAAAAGATATTGATTGCTTCCTGATACTTTAACAAGGTCCTCCCCTGTGTTGTAGCCAAGAAACTGGAAAAACAAGTTTGAGATTATGTGTTCATGACAAAGGCAGACGCCATGAAGGTAAATGAAGGACAGATCAGGATTCCACTCTTATGGTCAACATTTTTTTGCTTAGTTATTTAGGAAATACATAGCATGCTATTCTCATATCCAAATAATGCCTCACAGTTACTAATTGAAGTAATTTATTACCCATGAGAATAGAATCTGATCCTTCAGTGGTATGGAACGATCCTGCAAACTGAATCATAGAATCATAGAATGGCCT